GCCAATTTGAGAATGTTTCAAGTTATGCTTAAGTTGTGAGTTTTGGATCAACTTCAAATGACCATAACTTTCATTACACGATGAGTTAGGTGGCCCATAAGATATCAAATGAAAGGTTTTGAAATCCTCTTTCTAACGCCACCGAGTTTGCTAAGTTTTGAGTTCGAATGAGGGAGATATGACCAGTTGAAATATGTTTGTCCAGTTAAGGAAAGTTACCCGAATTTAAGAGGGGTATTTTGGTCGTTTTTTCTTACCCTTTCAGATTTAAGCGTTTTTAGTAAATATTTAAGGGTCTAAACTGATTTGGTTCAGTTTTCCCAATCCTTATTACGCTTAGGGTTTTAGAAAAGAATTCAATAAGAGAAAAGAGGAGAAAAAAGGGAAGGTTCAAAGCGTTCTTCAAGTTTTTTTGCGAATCAAGGATTGTTTCGCCAAGGGTTTGATCCCTAAGAGGTATGTGAGTTCTCATAGTGTTGGGTTCGTTCACCCACATGCCAATCATGCTATTTTAAATGCAAATTTGGTTCTTGAAGTTGAAGGATTTGTGTTCTTGAAGAGTTTCTTGAAATTTCATTCGTAGTCTTGATTGTTGGGGTTGTGATGAATTCTTGAGATAAGTGTTAGTAGTTTGAGGTTTTTTTAGTATATTATCATATACTTACGTTGGGTATTCGAATCTAAGTGAGTGGAGAAGAAACCATTCGATCCTAGGCGAATTAGGGTCAGAAAACGAAAAATAAAATTCGTCAAGAAGTTCTGGGCAGGGGCTGGCGCACCGCGCCAGGAAAAGGGTTATGTAGTTTGGGTTCTGGGGCACCACGCCACTCAGTGCTCCCCAATCAACTTTCAGTAGTTCAGGGGCTGGCGCCCCGCGCCATTTAGTGCACCAGGGTCTCCAGGTTCCCTACTCCTCCGTCCTTCTTTTCGTATGGGTTCCCTCAAATATTATCTATGTTTTCTACTAGATATCCACACTCTAAAATACATCTAAACATATAGAGATCATTCATAACTTGAATCATAACCTTGAATCCATAATTCAAATTCAAGGTAGAGTTAAGAGTTAAGTCTTAAGTCCGAGTCATTTTAAGAAGTCTTTTACAATCATTTTAAATTTGTTTTAAGACTTGAGTACTTGAGTTTGAGAAGGAGGAGAGTTAAGTTTCATTTTTCAAAATGAATATATGGGAACTAAGTATTCCCAAGAATAAATGTTTTTACATTTAAGATGAGAGGTAACATCGATTTCCAAAAAAATTCATGAGCAGTTTTGAGTACTATCTCTTTTAAGAGAAATATTTTGAGGAATAATCTCAAACCAGAGAAAGAGTTGTGTTTTTAAACATATGAGCTAAGTTATATTTTAGGAGTAGTATTGAACACCGATATGGGGATGAGTTCAGATAACTCAAATTCCTCATAAACCATGTAGCCAACGTCATACTTTTTTAGATGATTCCTTATTGCTTTTAAGCATAGACTAGTGGATTTACTTAGTGAATAGTCCTATACTCTGGTAAAGTATAAGACAGTTCTGACAGCATGAGCAAGACGATGTATCATCACATAGCTCATAGTGATAGTTGTCGGTTAGAGAATCTCCCACACAGATTTATTTTGTATTCTTATATACAAACATAATTATTTTGTATTTTTAGATACAAACTGAGTTATATTGTATTTTATAATACATTGAGTTGTTATCTACTGTTTTAATAGCTTTTCTTTATAATGCATCTTTACTACTGATTTATATTAAACTTAGTTGAGTAGTTTTGAGTAAATCTTGAGGTTAAGTTGAGTTGAGTTGAGACGAGGTAAGTTGTTTCTTCAATTCCAGTTCAAGCTTATGTCTTGTTTTAGATTTTCCCTTGCATGCTCGTACATTCCATGTATTGGCCATTTGGCCTGCATCTTTTATGATGCAGATACAGGAAATCAGGATCATCAACCGACACTCCGTTGGTCCAGTCGTGTTCCATAGTTGTTTGATGAGCCTCCTTACTTCCGGAGGATCCCTTGTCTACTTCTAGTATTTTCAGTTTTGTTAGGATGATCGGGGGTTTTGTCCCGACATCCCTCATAGTATTTGAGGCTTCATAGATAGATATACATTAGTAGTTCATGAGTCTTTTTCATTTCCAGTGTTTAATGTTTAAGACTTGAGTTGCCTTTTTGGCTAGTTGAATGTTTTATTTTTAAAATATTCTGAGTTTACCTTTTGAGACAGTTTGAGTAAAGTTTGCTTTTAAAGCTCCTATATTATTGAGTAAGTCTTCCCCTGAGAGTTGAGCCAAGCCAAGGGTTCGCTTAGGGCCAGCAATGATTCTCGAGTGTCGGCCACGTCCAGGGTGTAGGCTCGGGGAATGAAAATCAGTTAAGCTGATGTTTGAGCTTTTCCAAGATTTCTCTCTAGCTTCTAGGGTAGTTGCAAATTTGATAAGAGTTCCATTTATTTTGGAGGTGTGCCAGCAATTGTACAAACATAAATCCTCCAAGAACTAGGCTTCTCACAAGGATGCCTACCTTTTAGCTACTTATGAGTCCCACTAAGTACTAAGAGGGTGTCTATTTTACAGTATCAACCATTTGATAAGATCATGAGTCAAATATAGAGATGGACTTCCAGGTTTCTCTCTTATGTAGGAATGACTCAACTGATTAAGAGTGTATTGTTCTCCATTTAGGTGTTCTGATCACAAGTGTTTATACTTTCCAAAAAGTTGTCAAATGTATTGAAATATTAGGTAGGACCTTTTTATGGACCGGAGTAGTGTTTTAAAAGGTGGGGGCGTGAGGCGGGGCGTTTTACTTAGTATAGGGCGAGACGTGGGGCGTAAGCCCTATGGATCTTTAAATTTTTAATTTACAATATAGTATAATAATATAATAATACGAAATTATAAAAATACATCAAAGTTTGAAATAACTACAAACATGATTAATGAAACTCATAGAAAATAAAACTTCTAACATGATTATACAAGTATAAATAATCTAATATCTTAACTTTTTAGTAATAAAAGAATTATTATTTCTAAAAATATTTTTTTAATCATACTATACAATTCAGCCCCCTAAAAGAAAATAATCAATAAAACTTACTAGTATTATAATAAAAACATCACTCCATCATTAATAAAAATAAAATTACTTTCAAATAGTTAAATAATATATGATAACTTTGAGATTTATGACAAAACCATGAAGACCAATGATAACTGAAAAAGTAAAATTTCGTTACGTATTTTTAAAGAAATGTTACGTAATGTATAATCACTTTCACAATGTTATCACATAGTAAAGATTTGATACTATAACTTGTTATTTGAGTTACTCTCAATCTTCTTATCTCTATATATTAAAAAATTATGAAGTATCATTCATTTATTCAAGAATTATGAGGGTCAACAATGTTAACTAAAGATTTTAACACAAATTTTGTCTAAGATCTGTTAGGCAGGCCCTGAGCGTTGGACGTTGGGCGTACTTCAGGCGTACAGTCGGGCGCTTAAGGCGTAAGTTTTATAGAACTAATCCCCACACTTAAGTCTCGGGGAGTTTAGCTAGAGTCCCACCCCAAGGCGAGCCCCGAAGCGAGTCCCAACAGAATCTTTTAAAACACTGGACCAGAGGAATATATGCATCCAGGAAGGCACTAATTGCATGGGACCAACTATGTAGCCCTAAAACTGCAGGGGGACTCGATTTATTAGATATCCAAACATGGAATAAAGCTGCAATAAGTAAGTTACTATGTAATTTGAGCACTAAAAAAGATAGACTATGGGTGAAGTGGATTCACATTTATTATGGAAAACAAGAGACTTTGTGGGGTGTCCTAGCACCTCAAGCTTCATGGATGGTGAGGAAGATACTCCATATGCACAAAGAAATAAAGATTATTGGCTGGAATAAGGATTATGTCAAATAGATTGACAAATTTTCTATAAAAAAAACCCTCCATAAAACTCTTGGAGGATACTACCAGAAGGTGGAATGGAGGAGACTTACTTGTAACAATGCAACTTGTCCTAAGTGGATTTTCATCTTATACTTGGCATTACAAAGTAGGTTACTCAGAAGGGATCGATTAGCAACATGGGTGTGTGTGGAAGATGTCTAATGTGTACTATGTGGAGCTGAAGATGAGAGCCATAATCATTTATTCTTTCGCTGTTTGTTCTCATCCCAGGTATGGTAGAAGATACTCTATTGGCAAAGTATCAATAAGGAGGTTCAAGGTTGGGAAGAGGAAACATTATGGATGATGATGATGATATGAAGAGCTTGACATCCAGGCTTAATACATCAATAACATGAATGATGATGAGATGAAGAGCTTAACATCTAGGCTTAACATATTGACAATCTTTCAAATTTGTAAAATAAAATAAAATTAGACTCTTGAATTATGACATGTTTCAATTGAACATCTGACCAAATACCTAACAAAGTGCTCCTAATAACACTTTCGATTCAAATTTTGATTCTTTTGCGTGTGTTCTTTAATGCCAATTACGTAGATAAGTTAACCACTGAAAATATGTCACATTTTTTAATTATATAAATTGGTCTCAATCTCAATAAGCTATAATGAACATTCGAAGTCATGTTAAACAAAAATTCCAAAATTTGAATGGAAGATATCTAGTAGAAACGAACTTTATCATGTATTCAAATATTTAATTGAGTCTAAATAAAATTTAGGAGGTGTTTGGATGAAATTTTTTTAAGTGATACCTACTTTTGACTTTTAATTTTTTTTCTTTTTTTTGTCACTCTTCTAGAAATTTTAAAAGTGCTTAAAATCTATTTTTTCTGAACTTGGACAGATTCATGAACAACTCCAACAAGCTGACTGCATACATTTCTGTAATTCATTCAAAGTAATCTAAATCCCTAATATTTCTGTGTCTAATGACTATTGGCAATTATAAAAGCGTGCCATTTTGAGTGTTAGGAGTAACAATTGGCTCTCTACTCCTCTCTCTCATCAAAGCGATTTACCAGTTTTAGAAATCAATGGCCGGAAAAAGTAAGATTCTGTTCATCGGCGGTACTGGTTACATTGGAAAGTTCATCGTCGAAGCTAGTGCTAAAGCTGGCCACGATACATTTGTCTTGGTTAGAGAATCCACTCTTTCCAATCCTACCAAAACCAAACTCATCGATACTTTCAAAAGTTTTGGCGTCACCTTCGTCCATGTATGTAACATTTTTTTTTTCAATTTAGACATTGATTTAGGATTTAAAGTTAAAGAAGACATTTGGTCATGCTTTGATAAAGTAGTTTTTGTTTTCCAAGCGGAAAAATGATATTTGAAAATTGTAGTTGTATTTGAATTTTGTGAGTGATTTGGAGTAAAAAAAGTGAAAAGAGATTGTATGTGTTTTTCAAATTTCTGAAAATTCCATCAAGTTGAATTTTCTGGAATTGTAATTATTTTTTATTTTTTTGATTTACTCTCACTTTGATTTGTTAGTTTTTTTCATTGTGCGATTTGGGAGAATGATAAATTTGAGTTGGTAATAATTGGTGGTTAAATGCAGGGAGATTTATATGATCATGAGAGTTTGGTGAAGGCGATAAAACAAGTGGATGTTGTGATTTCTACAGTAGGTCATGCCCTTTTAGCTGATCAGGTCAAGCTAATTGCTGCTATCAAAGAAGCTGGCAATGTCAAGGTAAATTTATTGGTTTCAACTTTTGTTTATGTAAAATTGAGATAACAGGAGGTGAGATTGATTTTTTCCTGTATCTTTTGTGTTGTTTTAAATTATAGTGCTTGGAATTGCTTAATTTCAGGATCTGCTAGCCTTTGCTGTGAAAATTCTGATTCTTTTGAAGATTGCAGTAATTTAATTGAGGCAGAATGTGTTCTTTTCTTTTCTTTTTCTCAATCTGTGTATATATGAGCAATATGACTAATTATTTACTGTTTGATAAATATTGTTGCGGTTTTTTTCCAGATATATGGAATGTTCTATCTTCTGCAACTGATTTAGTATATATTGGTTTGAATTAGCAAAATAACTTCTTCTAAAGGCCTCTCTAACTTTCAGAGATTCTTTCCCTCTGAATTTGGGAACGATGTAGATCGTGTCCATGCTGTCGAGCCTGCTAAAGCAGCATTTAATACTAAAGCACAAATTCGCCGTGTTGTTGAGGCTGAAGGAATACCATTCACTTATGTGGCCACCTTCTTTTTTGCTGGTTATTCTCTTCCAAATTTGGCACAGCCTGGAGCTGCAGGTCCTCCCAACGACAAAGTTGTCATCTTAGGAGATGGCAATACTAAAGGTAAACTAAGATTTGGTACAAGTTTTTCATATGAAAAAAACACTTTCCAGTAAAGTACATATTTCCTTGAAAGCATTTTCCTACAGTCATTGAACTCCTTTTGTATCTACAGCTGTTTTTAACAAGGAAGAAGACATTGGCACCTATACCATAAATGCTGTCGATGATCCAAAAACACTTAACAAAATCCTCTACATCAAGCCTCCACACAATATAATTACATTAAACGAGTTGGTATCCTTGTGGGAGAAGAAAACTGGAAAGAACCTTGAAAGATTATATGTACCAGAGGAACAAGTTCTCAAGAACATACAAGGTAAAGGCCTTGTGCTCTTGATCTTCACTTTGATTAGACCATCTACGTAATATTTTATCAGTCAACATAAACTAAAGTGGTCTCAATGTAATTGTATTTCTTCCAGAAGCCTCGGTTCCAATGAATGTGGGATTATCGATCTATCACACTGCTTTTGTGAAGGGTGACCACACTAATTTTGAAATTGAACCATCATTTGGAGTAGAGGCATCAGAGGTTTATCCTGATGTTAAATATACGCCGATAGATGAGATTCTCAACCAGTATGTCTGAAAATGTAGAGTTCCTTCTTATTAAGCATAAGGTAAGGAGCTTCCTGCCTTTTCTATGATGTTACATTAGTTGTTTTCAAATGTAAACTCTTTGAGATATATCTACACTTTAAATTCTAGTTTACTCTTTGGTATTTCTACCTTTTCTATTATGTATTGACCACACACTTTTTTGCCTATATTGTTTTATAATATAGGTTCTGATGCTCAATACCCAGCTCACGATTAGTGCTATTCGTATCAGCTTTCACCACTGTTTGTGAGTCCTCATCTCCTCGAGGACACCACTTATGATTTCCGTTCAGTCATTACTTTTAGTTTTCAAACTTGTTAGAGTTAGCTAGGGATTTGTCCTAGCAACTCATGTTAGTAGAGACTTTCAGACAGTCGGTTAAGTTTCAGCCATGTTATGTTGTCTCTCAGATATTAGACTCTTTGAGTATTATGGGCTTATTTCGATATTTCTCAGTTTTAGCTTCCGCATGTACATCTCAATTTTGTGTTGATTTTGTTATTCTTAGTATCATGCTATGTCATGTGGTTAGCTAGGGGTCACTTGTGGCTCAAAGCATCGTGTCGCGTCTAGGGGTAGCATCAGGGCATGACAGTTATATTCTCAAAAACATTTGTAATTACTTGTGCGTTGGTCACTTGGATATCATTTTACTGCAATTTTTTGGGTTGATAAATTTTTTGGCCATCTGAAGTACAACAAATTACCCCTTAAAGTGAGTTAGGTTTATTTTCCCAACAAAGTCAATCAAATAAGATGTATAACCAAATAACTAAAAGAATAATCCTCCCCTTAAGTTTAGCTTTATAATATTAACTATTCTTGTAATTTATGATATTTGTGACACTCTATCATTAGCTTTAGTCATATCCAATTTTACCACCACATTATGAAAATTGTTTCTCTAATTAGTGTCTCTTATGATTTTTTGAGTCACTGGACATTCTCATTTCTCTGTGATGCTTCTTCCTTTGAAAATTTGACTAAACCAGTTTGATTCCTTAAGATCATGAGCCCAACTAGTTCTCATATAGCATCCTAGAAATGATCTTGTTAGCAAAAGTGCTCAAGCTTTGGACCTTTGATGTTAAATACTACTTCCAAAACATACTATTTGGAGTAGAGGCGTTAGAGGTTTATCCTAATGTTAAATATACGTACCCCGGTAGATGAGATAATCAGTATTTGTGAAAATTTGTGATGTTCCTATATTTTATTTTGGAAAAGTTTCTTTATTCTCAACTATTATTTTCTAATTCTAGTGGTATCTACTTTTTTAACAATGGTTGTAGATAACTTGCTTGCACCTCGACTATTTCATTGATTATATATTGCCTTCGACCAGTATAGATATGGAGTAACTATATTAATCAAAGGTTTAAATGAATAAGCTTTTTCTCTCTCTATTGGTATTGACCCTAGTTTCACAACACGTGAATATACTATATATAGTGTTACAACCGGTTAGCGCTAGCTTCCCTTCCCTCTTCGTCACCTTATACGTCTCTCTATAGACTATTCTCCCCTTGTCCTCCTCATCTAAGCTTTCCACTAACGCCCTATAAGTAACCTTCTTGGCTTCCTATTTTATTTCGACCTCTTCATTCCACCATCAATCCCATTTATGCACATTTGAGCTATCCTTCGAGACCTCTAATACCTCTCTAGTTACTTCTCTATCAGGTAAAAAGATAGTCCCGTATATGAAATGAATGAATGGATGATGATGATACGAAGGGCTTAACATCTAGGGTAATACATTGAAATGAAGAGCATAACATCTAGGCTTAACATATTAACAGTCTTAAAAGTTTGCCAACCAATTTTATTTAGCTTAAATTATAGGCCAAACACATACACAGCCCCTCAAACTTGGTCCCCATTTTTCATTTTGGCACTCCAACTTAGCCTTGTTCCATTTTAACCCTTGAACTCCATTTTTTCTGTTTCATTTTAACACGAAATACTATTTTTATGATTTCTTTATTTTATATATATTCTTCAAATGCAACTTCTTATTTTAAATCGACACGTGTCAGTTAATTTTTAGTTAAAAAAAAAATAAAAATTAACAAAAAATAATTCTTTTTTAAAAATAATAATTTCTTTTTAAGAGTGTTATGTATTTTTGTGTGAAAAATAACCGACAAAATTGTGTTGGTTTTCTTTCTTAAAAATCACCGACAACCTAATAAAGTAAGTCGAGTTTTAACATTTTTTAGTAGTGTTATTAGCAATGAACAAGAGTCTTTTTTACTCGTATTGAAGATGAGTTTTTTTATTCGTATTGATTTATATTAAAAATTAAAAGTGAGTATTTGCGTTAAATTTAGATAGCCTAGATGATAAGAAAAAATAAATAAGTAGTGTTATTTAATTTAATTGAATGTTTAAGAAAGAAAATCAAAGAACTTTCGTCAATTTATTTTCATGCAAAAATACAGAGAAATCTCAAAAAATATTATTATTGTTTGAAATTTTTTATGTTCGTTCGCGAATGTTTAATTTTTTTATGAAAATTAACAGGCACACGTCTATTTTTAATTTTTGTTAATTTTTATTTTTTTTAACTAAAATTAACTGACACGTGTCGATTTAAAATAAGAAGTTGCATTTGAAGAATATATATAAAATAAAGAAATCATAAAAATAGTATTTCGTGTTAAAATGGAACAGAAAAAATGGAGTTCAAGGGTTAAAATGGAACAAGGCTAAGTTGGAGTGCCAAAATGAAAAATGGGGCCAAGTTTGAGGGGCTGTGTATGTGTTTGGCCTAAATTATAACTTGTTTTAATTGAGCATCTGAACACATGATAAAGTATTCATAATAATAGTGTTGATTTAAATTTTAATTTTTTTCTTGCTTGTGTTATCAAATGTCCATTACGTACATAAGTTAATTAACCACTTAAAATATGTCACATTCTTTAATTATATAAATTTGAATCAAAAGCCTAAAACGAAACATTTGATAACTGAACTTTGACAGATTCATGAACTCCCTAACTAACTCACCACATACATTTCTGTAATTCATTCAAAGTAAGAGGGTATTTTCGTAATCTAACTCTATAATATTTCTGTGTCTAATGAATACTGGCATTAATCAAAGCTTTTTACCAATTTAGAATTCAATGGCCGGAAAAAGTAAGATTCTGTTCATCGGCGGTACTGGTTACATCGGAAAGTTCATCGTCGAAGCTAGTGCTAAAGCTGGTCACCATACATTTGTCTTCGTCAGAAGATCCACTCTTTCCGATCCTTCCAAAACCAAACTCATCGATACTTTCAAGAGTTTTGGCGTCACCTTCCTCCATGTATGTATCATTTTTTTTTCAATTCAGGCATTGATTTGGGATTTATAGCTAAAGAGGCCTTTGGTCATGAAAAATGGAAAAAAGTAGTTTTTATTTTCAAAGTGAAAAAAATGATTCTATTTGAGTTGTATTTGAATTTTTTGAGTGATTTGGGGTAAAAAGTGAAAACAGCTCGTTTATGTTGAATTTTCCGGAATCGTAATTTTTTTTAATCTACTCTCACTTTGATTTGTTAGTCTATTTCATTGTGTGACTGGTTTTTGGGAATGATAATTACGTTTGTAATAATTGGTGGTTAAATGCAGGGAGATTTATATGATCATGATAGTTTGGTGAAGGCGATAAAGCAAGTGGATGTTGTGATTTCTACGGTAGGTCATGCCCTTTTAGCTGATCAGGTCAAGATAATTGCTGCTATCAAAGAAGCTGGCAATGTCAAGGTAAATCAATTGGTTTGATCTTTTATATAAAATTGAGATAACAGGAGGTGAGGTCGGCTTTTTCCTGTATCATTTGTGTTGTTTTACTGCACTCATTGCCTTTTTCTCAAGCCAAGCCCACATACTTTAAATCACTATTATTCTGATTATTTACTTTATGAGTAATATGACTAATTATGAGCTTTATTTACTGTTTGATAAATGTTGTTGTGGGATCCTTTTTCAGATACATGGAAAGTTCTATCCTCTGCTGCTCTGCAACTGATTCAGTATATATTGGTTGAGTTAGCAAAATAACTTCTTCTTAATGTCTCTTGTTTACAGAGATTCTTTCCCTCTGAATTTGGAAATGATGTAGATCGTGTCCATGCTGTTGAGCCTGCTAAAACAACATATAATACTAAAGCTCAATTTCGCCGCATTGTTGAGGCTGAAGGAATACCATTCACTTATGTGGTCAACTTCTTTTTTGCTGGTTATTTTCTTCCAAATTTGGCACAGCCTGGACCTGTAGGTCCTCCTAAAGATAAAGTTGTCATCTTAGGAGATGGCAATACTAAAGGTAAACTCAGATTTGCAACAAGTTTTTCATATGAAAAAACACGGTGCAGTAAAGTAGATATTTCCTTGAAATCGTAATTGTTAAATTTCCCATTAATTGGATAATTTATTTGTTCAATGCGTGAAGCATCAGTCAATCATCTTGTAGTAGCTGAAAGACACATTTTCCTACCGTCATTGAATTCCTTTTGTAACTACAGCTGTTTTTAACAAGGAAGAAGACATTGGCACCTATACCATAAATGCTGTCGATGATCCAAAAACACTTAACAAAATCCTCTACATCAAGCCTCCACACAATATAATTACATTAAATGAGTTGGTATCCTTGTGGGAGAAGAAAACTGGAAAGAATCTTGAAAGAATATATGTACCAGAGTGACAAGTTCTCAAGAACATACAAGGTATAAAGGCCTTGTGCTCTTGATCTTCACTTTAATTAGATCATCAAAGTGATATTTTCTCAGTCAACATAAACTTAAGTCGTCTTGATGTAATTGTATTTCTTGCAGAAGCCTCGGTTCCATTGAATGTGCTATTATCGATCTGTCACACTGCTTTTGTGAAGGGTGACCACACTAATTTTGAAATTGACTCATCATTTGGAGTAGAGGCATCAGAGGTTTATCCTGATGTTAAATATACGCCGGTAGATGAGATTCTCAACCAGTATGTCTGAAAATTTAGAATTCCTTCCTATTCAGCATAAGGTAAAGGGCTTCCTTCCCTTTCTATAATGTTACATTAGTTATTTTCAGATGTAAACCATTTGAGATATTTCTACACTTTAAATTCTCAGTTTACTCTTTGGTATTTCTTCCTTTTTCTATCATGCATTCATTCATACTCAGTACATTCCAAGTATTGATCGCATATTTTTTTGCTTATACTGTTTTATAATATAGGTTCTGGCGCTCCATATCTAGCTCGTGGTTAGTGTT